ACCTATATTTTTGGGACACCGAATAATACATATTACACAGAGGGTCGCTATAAAATATACTTATCGTTACAATATGAGTTAACGGTGTTTGTTTTATATTATATACGTATATATGTATGTGTATAGTACGTTTCTCGATCGGATTAAAATCTTAATGACAGCGTCGCTACATGTGCGATTTTTAATCGAATCATAAATATTATATACGCCGAGGCCCGTAGCCGTGTTATGATAATAATAATAATAATAATAATAATAATAATAATAATAATAGTAGTAGTTTACTATAATATTATAATATTGTTTACAGCGGTGGAGAGATCGACCGTACCGGAATGGAAATTTCTTCGCAGTCGGGAGGACCCTCTCACCGTCACCGCCGCCGTTGACGGGTAGAGGGTGCGGTATTAAACGCGGTAGTTAAGAGTATATTATAGATAACATTAATGCCGTAGGTATATGGTAACCAGACGCACTGAACAAACGCGTTCGTTTTTATTATTATTTTTAGTTTTTTTTTTTTTTTTTAAACTTCTTTCTTTTTTTCGCAACGTCGGTTCTTTTTCGAAAATTTTCTGGCAAAGTGTACGCTCACTTGTATACCGTTACACCGTTCGGTCTTAAAAACGCGGTTGTATTATGTATTTAATGCGCCATTTAACAACCGCTAGCGGTAATTAACGATTGCGGTCTTCTATACGTATATACACGCGAGTACTTACTGCGGTAATAATAATAATATAAGGAGTTAGCTCGGCACTCTTCCCGCACCACAGCCGCCGCCGCCGCCGCTGTGAGCGCGGTGTTTCTCCTCGGAGATTATCGGCGCATAATAATTATAACAATCATCCGTGGGAGGGGGAGGGGGGGTGGTGGGGCACAGGAGCAACGGCGGGAGTGTAAACTTTTTGCCCCGACTATATTATTATTATTAGTATTATTATTATTATTATTATTGTTATTATTATTATTATTATTATCTTAATCAGCCCGACGGTCGTTACAATTATTTTTGCCTCGAAAAACCGGGGGCACGGCCGAGCGGCTCATCCGCCGCTAAAACCCGCGAATTTTTATTATGGTCGTATCTTTAAAAAGTGTTTGCCTACACGCCGCGCGGCCGCCGCCGGGGGACTCGTTTGCCGCCGCGAGTATTACCGCCGCGCGATGCCATTATAAACTGCAATAGTTGTTTTCCTCCTTTCCTTTTTCTCTTTATATTATTAAACACAGATATATATATATATAGGTATACCTTGCGCCGGCCCTCTGGTATTATATTATACGGGGGCTATACGCGGATGAGCTCGAGAGGAGCTGGCTGGCTTTTCTCTTTTCCGTCGCGGTTTTTTACCCCCTTTACTCTTTGTTTTTTTTTTTTCGTCCGTCTCTTATTATAATAATATACGTAAACGGCGACGGTGTACGTGCATAGCTTTGCGGTGTATAACCGCACCACTTGCCCGACGGCTTCGCTCCAATAACAATAAACTAAACATCACGAGAAACTCGCCCCCCCCCCACACCCGAAACCGCAATATCAATAAATTGTCTGCGATCTTCCGCGGAGGAATTAAAAAAAAAAAAAACCACCAACGATGCGGTATACCCGCGTGTACCCTTTATATCGTATAGCTATTATATATATACGGCTACAAAGTATTTTTAACAAAGTTTACGCGTCTTATAACTCGTCTGCGCGTTGTTGTAAATATTCGTATGTGTTTGAATCAGATAAAGCGAAATCGGATAGCATAAATAATACTAATAATAATAATAATAATATCAATTTTGTCTGGACAACCGTCTGGAACGATATACTATACAACGCATGTATGCCACATATAATACGTATACGAGAACTTTCGACGTAATGGTATTGGTTAAGTCGGGTTTTGCCGGCTGTATCACGTGGTTTACATATGTTCACTCTGATTTTGGAGGAGCTCTATATATATAACTTGGAATTATTAAGATTAAAAAATAAATAAATGTTTGACGAAATGAGTGTGTACAAGCGGTAAATATAGAATGTATAACAAATTAGTTACGCGGGAGTATGCTTGTGATTGTATTATAGTTTGTGAAATGGGTTAGCACTACAGAAAAAGGAGTAAGAGAGCGGAAGGGATTCCGAGGCACTCTATAATTATCGCAAGAGATAAGAGAATCCGCATAACCATCCAAAAATTGTATAGAAGGTATGGATTGGCAACCACTATTGTCTGTAACGAGCGATATAAGGTGTAACTTGTTGAGAGTAATCGTGCGGTAGACGATCGATGTTTAGAAGACAGAGACAACTAATAACAAGAAATGTTTTTTAACTTGCTCAAGTCAGATGGCGCCAGAAGTTGCAAGGCACCATAATATCACAAATCCGTGTTCCAAACAAAACGGGAATATATGGAATAGTATCTTCAGTCGAGAGACGTTTTGAACTGAAGTTATTCGTTCGACTAACAATAGCCACGTAGAGCGCCCTGCAACAGGTATATTCAATTATAAGTTTATGGAACAAACTATGTATAATTTAAAAGAACACGCAGGTGTATTACACCACCTGCAGAGTTAATTTTGTATCCACTCAAAATCAACTTCTGTATGAAATTCGAATTGAAGAAATCAAATACCTGAGATTATTTATTTGAATATGTTACGAGGAAAACCAAAGGAAAGACGTACATGCTATTTAAAATATGATTGAGTATAGAAATATAATATTATAATGTACCTAATGAATTTTAACTTTTTGGAGTTAAACAGTTAATGTAAAGGAGGGATCGGTATGTGCGGTGCGCGTAAGACGTATAATTGGAAAACGTTGTAGTTAATTAAATTCGATGAAGATAAAAGAAAATGGGATAGGATCGATGAACGTGTACGACAGTAGAGAACATTTAAGGGGATACGGGAAAGAAACCGGGATAAATACGATATTAAAACGTGTGGTATTAATCGATATAAAATTAGTTTCGAGATGTAGTGTCAGAGCAGAACGATGGGAGTACATTGGGACCAAAGTTTGCCAACTATTCAATTTTAAAAATCGGGACTTTCTCCAATACGAGAAAATTTTATTCTAACTTTAGTATAATAATTTTGAGAATGTCATACAATATCATACTAGTTTTTCGTTCATATGAAACGCTATTTGCGTGGTGTTACACATTCGATTTACTTCCGTGATGTATTAAAAGTCTTTCCTACATAATTTACAATGACCAAACAAATTGTAATTTTCTGATTTTTAAAGCCTGCGGGTATTAGAACTTGACCACATTTCACGAAAAGTTCAAAGACTTTTTACATTTTTCGGCGGAGTACTTTGTTCTCCAGTCATTAATTTCATATATGATAATAATATAGATAGATACACGCCAACCGAACATACGCACAATACGATAATACACAGCGTCGGCACTGACGGTTCATTCCGAAATAAAATATTTGTGCTCGTGTCAACGCTATATAGTGGAGACAGTGTGAGAGACTGCAAAATCATCCTTAGAAGAGGATTAAGCACAAGAAGAATTAGACTAATATACTCCGAATACAGCTGTAAACGCAAACGTGTTTGGACCGTTTCGACCCTCCCCCTCTCACCCCGACTAAAAAGAAAAAAGAAAAAAACGCGTGTCGGCTGCGGCTGTGGGGGGTGAGAAAGCGGGGAGTCAAATCCGTTTGTGCGTCGATTAAAAACGTCACGGGACAATATTATATTACGTACGGCGCGCGCGCGTATATAATAGTAATAATAATGTTGTAATAGCTAGGCGCGCGCGGTATTAGTTACGACGACGACGCCGGGAGACGTCGGGTTCATACGAACGACAGCATTATACCGGCTCCGCGCCGGTGATAAGAATATATAATACGAAATGAGGGGACTACCGGGGGGGGGGAGAGACGTGTTCGCGTATAATGTATTTTGTATTTTATATACGTGCGCGTGCGCGTGTGTGTGTACACCCGGTATATTATAGTAGCCGTACTTACCTCTGCGTATACGTATATATGTATAAACTGCACATCGGTCGCCTGCGCCGGCGGTGCGCCAGCGGAGGAGGGCTCAATTAAAGTTTAATCCGAAATTATTACTACGTCCTTCCGGAGGAGACGCGGGGCGGTTATCCACCACCGCCGCCACCACCACCGCCACCACCACCACCACCACCCCGCGTCCCGTTTACTGCTGCGAAGAAATATATACGCGTGTACCGCGTGCCCGGCCGATAGTCGTCGTGGGGACGACGACGGTGACTTGCTTAGGAATCGTCTTGATTTGCCGCCGACACCCGTTGTCGCGGGCGTCACGTAAAACGCGTTTCTCCCTCCTCTCACTCACTCACTCTCCCTCAGTCTCCCTCTCTCCCTCCGACACGGGCCCCCACCCCTCCGCCGGCGCGCAGTTATTATACGCGACGCGTTTCTCCAGCGCCCGTCGATCGACCTTACCCGCCAATAAACGTTTCGCCCGCCCGCCGTTCCATATAGCCGGTGTTATCACCGTCGTCGCCCTCCCCCCCCCTCCCCGCGCTCGAAGACCGCCGAATTCGTTCTCGTACACCGGATTCTGTTCCTACACAGTATTTATAAGCGTATATTATGAAAGCGACAGCGCAGAGTAATCTCGGGCAGCCGACGTAGAATTTCGCATGGCCGCTGCCGCCGCTGCTGTGACAGCTGCAGATCAGTGATGGAGATTTTTTTTTTCTTTTTTTTTACTTTTTTACCGGGACAATCGGGTTTTTTCATCGTCCATAGCCGTAAAAAGTGATTTTCGGAAGAGCTAGGCCAGTGGTTCTTAACCTTTTATAGTTCAGCGCCCCCTTTATCGTAACAACTAACTGCTAACGCCCCCTCATGTAAAATCAAATTTTCTTTTTATTAATATATATATATTTATTTATTCATCGGTATATATGTTTATATGTATACATAACATTATTAATTAAAGTAAAAACTCTTATTTTTAGATAGTAATGGTTATATTTTACACATTGATATTGGTCAAAGCTAATCGTAGATCACCTTTGTTGCAAATGTCCAACCGATTTCTTTGTTTGGTCAAAAGCTGAACAACAACGCTGAATCCTTTTTCAACTAGATAAGTTGACGGAAAAGAGAGAAGCAACAATTTAACTTGTTGCCATAGTTGTGGATAAGTGTCTTTAAGCTTGATCCAGGCAAGCTCGTAACCGACTTGCTTAAAAACAAGTTGTGCCTCACAGTCGTGTTTAAGATCGATAAACTCCATTTGTAAATGAGGTTCAAGATCTTCCACAGATTCAAACGAAAATGGATCTAAAATCCAATTACAGATTTGTAACTCAAGTAGGTCTTGAAATCTTGATTTCATGTCTTTTTCGAGCTGCAAAATATGATTAGTGAAAATTAGAATTTTGTCATCTGGAATTAAACCATTTGCGTCTGAACACTACTTGAGATTCGGAAACTGACTCAGTTCTTGACGATTTATGTGTGTTCTGTAAAGATCAAACTTAAAAATGAATGAGGAAATTATTCCTTTGGCTTTGATAAAGTTCATCTTATTCCCTTGAAGCTTCAAATTGACTTCATTCATTTTTTCAAAAATATATGTGAGATACCCAATCTCAATTTTTTGTTGCTTCAAAATGTCTTTTAAGACAGGATCAATTTTATCGAGAAATTCAATGATAAAGTCAAATAATACAANTTCATCATTATCATGACAAAGTTCTCGAAACATACGGTCCTTGAGTGAACTTGTTTTAATCTTGTTTACAGCTTTTATGACGAATTGAAGGGTTTCGTGCAGGACACCGCTTAAGTTTTTAGCAGCTAAACGTTGGCGATGTATAATACAATGAACACAAATAACACCTGGGACGGCTTTTTTTAGGTGGCCTATAAACCCAACATGACGGCCGGTCATTGAAGGAGCGCCGTCCGTTGCGCATGCAATAATATTTGTCAAGGGGATATTTTTTCTGGTAAAATATTCCTCCACCACTTGAAAAATCGACGATCCTTTGGTATCAGTGATCAAACTTGTAGCAAACAATACTTCCTCGACGATTTCTTTACGTTCATTAATAAACCTCACGTAAGCTAGTAATATAGCTTTATCATCTGTCACAGTTGATTCGTCAATCTGTAGTGCAAAATTATTTTCTCTTAAATAATTTATAAGTTTGTGTTCCGATGTCATCAGCCATTTCATCAATTCTCTTGGAGACGGTGTCATTGCTCAAAGGAATTGACTTAATCATCTTATTGCTAGTACCCTCTCCTTGCATAGTATCGATTATTTCCTCGAGAGCCGGTAAAATAAGAGTTTCACCGATTGAATGAGGTTCACTGTTTTTTGCTATCAATAAAGACACACCTTGTACGAAGCGAGAAATCCTTTATCAAGATCAGACGTTTGTTTTTTAAATAAACTATTCACAGTAGACCGTTTTTCAATGTTTGCTTTAAGAGCCTGAAAAAACGAAAGTGGTTTCTCCAGTTTATCGGAATGAATTTTCGATAAAATTAAATATTAAAATAAAAACGTTCAATCTTGATGGCGGCTTCATCGTCTCGTTAGAAAATGTTTTTTCACATATAAGGCAAAACGGTGTACCGTACATTAAGTGGTGACGCGATAAAACCAAACTTTAGGCGCTCTACTAAACACTGACGGCGCTTCTTTTTTGCACTATGATCACTCGTTATAAAAACATTTATATTTCAAATTACTTAGTTGAAATTAAGTCTGTTAATTTCGTCAAACACGCTCGTTTATTCGAAAACGCGACGTTCGCCGTAGCGATATCAATGACGCGCCGCAAGATACAGTATACAACGGTCTCGTAACGGTTGAAAATGTAAAAATTAATCTATTGTGAACAAGACCTTTTGCGTTCCCGATGCGTAAAAATGCGATTAGATACATACACGCGAGTACATATCTAAATATATACAAATAATTACAAAAAATACGTACATTGTATCGCATAATACGAATTTATTCGGGTTACTCCTATATGAAATATCGAGAACGATTATATGCAGTGGTAGTCGGTATCCAGTCGTTACCGTTTTATCGTCCGTACACGTGGCATTATCGCCGTTGGGCCGTTTCCCCATAATTTTTAAATTTAGATAATACTCGTGTAAGTACAGTTTATTAATGTAGTTGTATACAAATAGGTGTCCGCCGAAAAATATATTTCCGTGGTTGTCCAATTATTTGTAGTGTTGTTATATGATATTAATAAATTGTATTATTTTCAATCTCCGAGTTTCAAAAAGCTCACCGCCCCCTCAACGCCACCTTCAAAACTACCCCCCCCCAGAGAGACCGAAATGCCCCCAAGGGGCCGCCCCCGTTAAGAACCGCTGAGCTAGGCGATCGGTTGGTCGAATCCTCTTGTATAAAAAAAAATAGTCGAGCGCCGTAATGTTACCGTATTCGGATCAGCGTTTTACACGCACGACAAATCACGAAACGCGCATTTAAAAAACATGCATTTCTGCATCAAATTTGCGATTAAAATGTTCCAAACGAAAAAAAAAAATAGCTTACTTTTTCTTCGGTTTTTTTTTTTTTTTTTAAAGAATTCACTCTAGCTCCAGCAATAGATGTCTTCGTTTAATACCGCAACAAATAAATACTTGCTTCCGTCCATCCCTTTCCCGAGCAGATGCTTTTCCTACTTGTATTCTATTCTCTATTAGATTCTCCCGGAATTTGTTTTTCCGCCTGTGCGTCGGCACCTGTTTATAGTTATTCCGGCAGATCTCCACACGTGACTATAACCAAAAAAAAAAAAAAAGATTATATACAGAAATATATACAGACTTAAAATTTTAAAATATCATTCTATTTCTATTCACAACAGTAAATAAAACGTTTCTTGATTTTTATTTATTAAAAAATCCGAATAATTTATTCACGTTCGCGTTTTAAGTTCAAATGTATAATAAAAATTCGTTAAAAATACAAACGATTTCGTAAATATTTGAATTTATCAACCGAGCTCTACAAAATAACCGTAAATCGTATATCGTTTGATTGGAAAATAAATCGTAAACGGTTTTTTTTTTTTATTTATTTATTATAATACTATTCGACAATTTTTATTTTCTCGAGTTTGTTATGTTGAATACAATAATGATATTTTTTAGTCGAGCGCATAACCAACGCGTAATCTATCGCCAGCAAATGTTCGGGAGCTTTTCGCGCGAACCGGTAAATCGACCGACAGATGGCAGCGTCGGGTCCGTCTCGCGATATCCGCCGACCAGCTTGTGCCGCAAAACGGTTTTTCGAATCGCGGTCGTAAACTACGTCCTAAAAAAAGGAAAAAAAAAACACACGTCACGAAATGAAAATAGTAATTGATTATGAAATTGAATTATTTTAAGTGTAACTGAGTCGCTAAACGCTAACCGAAACTATCCTATATTATATAATTATAGCGTTAATCCTACATCGTATTTTGTATTTTTTTCGTTCAGCTGTGACTTTCGCGTTTTTCACTATATATTTTTTACCCGACAACGACGACGACTGTAAAAACTATTGCAATTACTAAAACTTGTCGTGCTTTCGCCGTTGCCGAGAGGCTCGCTTTAGTTGCCAACAAAACGTTCCGTCGCCTTTTATCCGAAAAACCGACAACGTCGTCGTCCGATTCGATAAAAAAAAACTGTGTTTTCTACACCCACGCCACCGTGCCGTAACGGCAACGACGACAACACGACGATACGATTTTCCGAGACCTTTTCCTAAAATAAAACTCGCGTGCCCGTCACATTGACTACGCGTCTGACAGTTTTGAGCGTGTTTTCATAACATTTATACATTTTTTTTTTTTCGTACCCTTTTTATCCCCGCGATCACACATTACAATGACGTTACGTGCGAAGTTTACAGCTGAGATTGTTGAGACCAGTCGGATGAATTTTATTTATCAAATTCGCTCGAGACTGTGTATTGTGCGCTCATCAGAGCCATTTCTTGAATACGGTTCTGCGGATAATTCTAATCGTCAACTATAAAAAACGTCCGAAAAACGTTCCCCAATCCACATATGTAAGTTGCATATTAAAATTTCCCTGCTCTCACCACTAAACTCAGTCTCTCAGATTATCATCTTTCTTAGCCGACCGCCGTTACTCTCATAACATTTTTTTCCTCTCAAATCTAATCTCTTCCAATATCGATTTCCTCTGTCTACTTTCGTTTGTTGATTTTTGAGTACCTTCACGTCATACTCGCTTGCATAAAACAATTTTTTACATTCCTCTATGTTCAACCAATTATGTAATATTTAATGAACCAATTAATCGACTAATGAAATTGGCAAATGAGCATCCGTCTTCTCTCAAAGTATATATCTTTTTGAAGCATCAATTGTTGTAATTGTTATTCTGTATTATTTTTATTATTACCGTGTGTACTTTGTGGCTAGGACTTTTGTCTTAAGCTCGTTTAATATAAAAATAAAATATAACATGCATTCCAATCAAAAATATTAAAACCAAATAATTTTACCTTTAACGTAATAATATATTAGTGGTTTATAACCGCGATGCTAAAGATTTTTTTTTTTTACCCAAATAATTGAAGGATAATTACGGGGATCATAGCCCAAATTAGAGGTAATATATAGACTGATCACTTGCCCCTCTTTTGGTACCACAGATCATAATGGTTTCTTCTTAATTGAATTCGTGGGTTCATTGGACTGTCTTCATGTTGACGATCGATTGACTATGGTCGTTCTTCTCGTAGCTTTTCAATTTAAAAAAAGAATTTCATCGTAGCGAAAAAATACTACACTACTTGTAACTTATTGTGTGCTATCGGGTTCCAGGGAATCGTCTTACGTTAGAGAAATTTTATTATATTTAGAAAAATTATGTGGAACTAATCTAATTCTTGATCAATTTGTTTCTTTTTTGTTTTGAACATAATATGTATATTGCCGATTTAAGAACGATGATGAAGTCAGAATTGCGTGGACTGACTTAATTTCGAAATTATAATAGCTTTTTGAAGTTTTAATATTATGCATATATTGTGTGTGATGTTGTATGTTATGTTAAATAACTCGATATTGTCAATTTTATATTATGTAAAAGTATGTCCGTTTTGTAATTCAATTTAAAATATTCGTAGACATGAAATTTTAACAGATCCACTTCGTATCTGTTGAATATTATTATATCTACCTTTTTAAATGTAAATAAAACTATGTTACGCTGGCACCCTTGGATTAAAAATTCTACCCAAAAACCACGTCAACGGTTGTTGTATAATTTATATAGATTTGCAACTAGACAATATTGATTTGTAACAGCCTCCGAAAAAATATACGACGCAATATCTAGACGAGTAGCGAGACTGTTTGAACGATTATTACAGTAGCGTTCCGTTTTGTATCGGGAAGCTAGGATGAAAATAATATCCGTCAATTTTTTACGGAAAACTACTCGGGTTAGGTTACTATACTATCTGCAGTTATTGGGAAATTGAATAAATTGGTACGTATTTTCTACAGAATAAAAAATTCAAGAAAATCTAGATATAGTTCGCACCACGAATAGGCAGCCACTGTTTGTGGAATGGAAGGCTTGGGGAAGTATTGTGATATCGATAGATCAATACAATAAAATCAAACGGTTTTTAACGTACGATGTGAATACAATTTGAAAATTATTAAAAAGTATATCAGGTGAAAAAAAATACATATTTTAATAAAATTAATAGTTCAAATATACCAACTAGATAACAACCAAAGTACACGCAAAACGGTTTGTTCTCGTCGAAGGTTTATTACAATTATAATTGTTATCATCAATATTAGGTATATTAGTATAGGTGTTTTAATAAGTGACTGTGTCCTATATCAATTTACCGGCCAATAAACGACATATTTAACACAGTGCGATCGTTTGAATAAAATATCACGTTTATTTAATATCGTAATATAATAGGTATAAACATAAATATCGTATATAAATGACAACGTTTGTACTAATAACGCGTGGGTACCTACTGATTTAGATTAAATGTAATAATGTAGGTAGGTACGCAATTCAAAACGGAGATTTGAAACAAGTTCGAGTTACCCTTTTATAATATTATATTTGAACAATCACAAAAAGTCAAAGCCATCGTGAGATAATACATGAATTATTATGGGACATGACAAGGGGAATAATCTTGGAAAGATTATTTTTTTTTTAGATAAAAAACTAACATAGAAAACACATTACACTGACTGGTTTAGTTGGTTATGAAGTTGACTGTCGATAAAACAGAGTTTTTTTTTTTATTGACACTATTATTATTATTTTAGATTCTCTACAATGAAGAGGTAATTCGCTTTACAAAGACGTATTTTTTGCTCTTCGGAAAACACTTTTACAATTATATGCTTTGATTATTTTTACACACTGCATTAACAGGTGCACAATTTCCGATCGATGGTGTTTAATTATAATAATATATTTTATCAATCAATAAGATTTTATTTGAAACAATTATCGAAATTTCCAACGCTTCAATCACTTTGTCCGTTTTTTGTTTTTAGATTCTGAGTGAAGCGAAGAACCGTATGGTTTTACAATGATGTTTATTTTATTAAAAAGTATATCAGATTAAAAAAAAAAGAACACATATTTTTAATAAAACTAATAGTTTAAAAATACCAACTAGACAATAACCTAAGTACTCGCAAAACCGTTTGTTCTCGTCGAATTAATAATTATATTTGTTATTATTAATATTAGGTGTATCGGCATATAGGTGTTTTAATAAGTAACTGTATCCTATACTAATTAAAACACGTATAAATTACCGGCGAACAATCGACATCTTTATCATTGTGCGATCGTTTGAATAAAATATTGCGTTCATTTAATATCGTAATAATATTTAATTTGGTTGTAAAGATACATATTATATATAAATAATAATGTTTGTGTTCATAATATAAATATTTAATAAAGAACATATAAAAAAACACAAAAAATCAAAACTGCATATTATTACAACCGGTATGGCAGTATATTTTTCCCATAATAAATTTTACCCCTCCAAAAATATCATTAGATTTATTTGCTCCCGGGAAAAATATCCTCTGATATATTTACGCTTTTGGATAAATTAAAAGGGACAAATATATAATAGTATAAACTAACCTACCCCCTACACTGTTTTATATTTACCCCCTTTAATTTATCTGAGGAGGTAAAGATATCCAAAGATATTTTTACCGGGGGTAAATAAAGTCCTGGAATGAATTCACTGAGAGTAAATATATTTGAGCGGTTAAAATATACCGAAGTGTGCCGTGTTTACAAGAACAATTTTGATATTATTATATTTGTGATCGGACTCCAAAATAATTGGACAGTTTGTTAAGTTCCTTTACGACGTCGTCTATATGGTCTCCATCTTCACTACCGATCATTAATTTCCATTTATCCGATGTACTATTTGAAAACTTCAGTTCTATCTTCGAAACTTTGCATTTGCGGCGGATGTATCGAATGCCATTCATGGCAATCAAGAATTCAGTGAGGTCTGCGGAAATTTGTATTTCATACATGTTTTTCAACACATAAGAGCTCGTGGAGCTTTTTAAAGTTAATCTTATTTTTTCCACCGTTAAAACTTTCGTCTTTTTCGTACTTTATCTGGTTTCCATTACATGACTGATTGTATAATATTTGAGTACTGTGTTCTCCATACGTGTCCGACCTTCTTTTCCCTATTCTCTGGCTCTTAAGTATACTCACTACCATACAGGGTGTCCTACGAAAATGTACACATTATATATACAATATATTGTATACCTACGTCCCAAGTGTGCAATGTATATTGTATTATAATTGTGTTTTCTTTCTTCTCGATAGCCTTTAGACTTAAATAAATTATAATAATTATGTGTTTGGCTAATTCGGAGAGACACTTTGTGGGTCATCTGATAAAAGCTCGTTATCCGATCTGCAGTTCCATAAATCGACCGACGCATAATCATCATGCGTAAACACGTGTGTATAATACGCACGCGGTATAAAGACACCGCACAATAATAATTGTTTTCGATTCTTGAAAGAATACTGAAAAAAAAAAAAAAAAAAAAAAAACATCCGCGTACTGCCAATGAAATATTCGTTACGCTTCCTTAAACGCCAATTAAAAAAACATTCTAAGTATATATAAATTATTCAAACAGTCCGTTCTCGGAAACAAAATATTATTTAACGTGCATATCATACATACGAACTTACTTTTATGTATTTTTTTTTCTTTTCGTTACATAATATTTTAACTACATCGTTTTACAAGAAAGCGCTTCCATCGTGTACTTAATATACTTACGCACTAGAATGCAAAAAAAAAAAAATAATAATAATAACAATTCTTACAATATTTTTTTTTTAAAAAAAAAAAACAATACAGTAGTCAAGTATATATATATAGGTACCCACTATACGAGAACAATGACGTGTAGTACCTATGTGTACCTACATAATAAAAATATTAATATGACAATGTTTACAACAATTTTCTTAAAATGAGATATATTATACAAGTTCCATTACTAAGTATTAATGATGCCGTCCCAATAAAATGGAACTGGATACTAGGCACATTTCAATTTTGAATAAGACGATTAGGACAACCAACATTTGTTTTTACTTAATATGTTTTTTACGCTTAAAGTAATTTACAGGTGCCTTAAAATACATGGGATTTTTGACAGGTGATACTTTATTAAAACAATTTTTTCTAGATTCCGATAGATTTTCTAAACAAATAATAAAACTGACAACAAGTAAAGATACATCAATTTTATTTTTAATTTCAGCGTTAGTTACCCTTGTCCTTGACTTAAAGGGAAATAAACTCCACTAATAATACTTTACCAGTTTAACGAGTTTCGCTTAGAATAATTGTTTTTATTGACATGATTTAACGTTGCATATAAACTAAATTACCCTATATCCTATAACTTCCAAATATCCTACCAATACAACTAGCAATTACCCACGGTGCGAAATATGTCCAAATTTTAAAAATTTAAATATTACTCATTAGTCATTCTATTAAATTTAAACATTATTAATAATAATTTTTGAATATTTGTACGAAAATTGTATAAAAAAAAGTTAATTTTATTAAGTATATAATATTCTTCGTATTGCTGTACGTCAAAATATCATAATACCGTCGATGCATTTTTAGCCATATATACAAATAAAATAAAATGTACGAACATAATAATTATAATGACGAATTTTTCAAGTATGAATCATATTAGGAGTATATTATTATGTATTGTATTATAAAATATTTTTCTCAGATTACTATATTGTGTTCGTACAATACGAACCCGTTGTTATATTATTTCGTGTGAAATTATTTTTTAAGATTAATATCTACACATATTAATGCAATCTGGATGCACACAAGTACCGCTTATCGCTGCGATTAATCTATATTAAAATATTAAAATATCCAATGTACGTATTATTGAACAGCTTAATAGTATATATTATAAATCATCATATAATAATCCGTCGTCTTGGTCTCTGTAGGCGACCTGTTGCACCAGTGGTTTTAAGCAGATAGGTAGTAATATTAGTGCGTTAATTAGTTGTGTGATGAATACAAAAGTACAATTTAATAATAGCCAGGAATGTAAACCGATATTATTATATAGATACGAAATTTCAACACAAACCGATTTATGGAACATTAAAAACAAATATAATATTTTTTATTTATGAACAGTGTGAGTTTATATTTTTAATTATTTACGTGACTAGAAAACAAAAAATTATCAATCGACTATATATTTTTACGTGAAAGGTTCACCAAAAAAATACGAACCAAAAATTATTTCTGAGTTACCCCTAGTACCTTAGCTACCGATAGGGGGGGGGAAATAAACATTCTTAATTCTTACTATAATATTTTAACCAATATTCGCTCAGAATTGGTTTTCGATTGTAATGACATATCGTCGTTGCTTTCAGTCTAATATAAACTTATAAACTATCCTATACTGGTTATTGTATCTAATCAATAGGGTGCGCATTATAATGAAAATTACATTTTTTTGTGAATGTCCTAAAGCAATGATTTCCAAGCACAAAATTCGTGTCATAATTCGTTTCAAATAATTAAAATATCAAACTTTTATTTTGTATTTTTAGAACTTTTATTACTTTTATAACATATTTATTGATATTTCAAGTTCATTTTTAGGGTTTTTTTAGGTACTTTTACTTCTTTTTACAAACTTCAAAGTGCTATCAGAAAATTTGATTTCCTCTTAAAGGAAAAAAAATTAACATTTATGTTTTAAAATGTATCATAGATTGTCTCAGATAAATATGATGCCAGCTGCAGTAAAGAAAACGATAAGCTATTTATTGAGTTGTGTATTATGTAGTCGTATTGCACTATTTGCACTTTTTTGTTTGGTAAATTAATTTGTATACCAACGTCCTACCTAAAAAAATTTTTTTTTGTCCCGTTTAAAATAAATTTTAGAACATTTTTTAAGACTTTGTATTTAAGTGCATTCAATTGTATCTGTTTAAGGCATTTTTCTTGTTTTTTAGAGCATTGTCCACACCCTACAGTAATCAACATAAATAACTTGTACCCATCCTTATCAAAAATTACGACGTGGGTACATGTGTATGTATAGTGATTTTATTTGTTTTCAGTAATCTATAGTGGCAGTTATCGCTATAATTAACGAAAATTCGACATATTCCCGCAAGACCATATTTTATTTGAAATATTTTCGTTTCGGGACGTTTCAGCCTGTAGAATGCCTTAAAAACGCCCAACAATATAATATGTAACATAACCTAACTCCTACAATGTATGTATCATATTGTAACTCTGACCTACAGGTCAGTTAACAAAAAGAAATATTAATAATAATAGATCTGAATAGTGTACACGTAATGCAAAGCTTCATCTAATTATTTTTGCACGACCCTTACGACGGTATTTTATTTTCTTATTTTCTGATAAACACACTATTTATTTCTTACATATATAAGTACCTGAAAGAAAAAAAATATAATAAAAAAAAACTTTTATTATTGCAAACGCAGCCAATATTCTAATAATAGATAAGACACTGACCGCAAATTCCAAAACACTATTGTGTTAATGTGGGAATGAAAAACATCACAGCAAACAATATACGGTCGTAATTTTATTTAACATTGGGTGAAAGTAATTTTTCAAAAATAACATTCACTATTTCGTGATATTTTATAATAATACATGTATAATAAAATATGCTACACTAATTATGATATCATGACAAATTCATTACGGTTGTATATTCTTTTATTCATAACATATCAGGCTAGTTATAATTAGGTTATTCGTTTTGGTATTTTGAAGCATTATTAATTGATAAATTAATTACTAAAACACAGCAAATATTATCATTTATTTATTTATTTTTTTTTTATTTATTTATTTATTTATTTATTTATTTATTTGTTGACTTATTTAAATTATCAACGCCTCAAGTGTTAGAAGTACAGAATAAACAATAACCATAAAAGATAAATAATCCAATAGAGATATAATTTACTCAGTATAGATGGTAAAGAATTTAATAATAAATCAATATCAGACAGATTATTAATATAAAGCATAGCAACCAAGGGGACTTGCGAAACCAATATTAGTTGAATGGAATTCAACATTAAAAATAGATTTGTGCAATTGTACCTTGAATCAAAAGAAGGAACGGATAAGGATAGTCGTGATAACAAATCTGGAGAATCAATTAACCCTTGCAATAATTTGTAAACAAACGAGTTGTAAAATTATCTTTGTCTATCAGCAAATGATTTAAAAGCCACAATACCGTTATATCGAAAAAAAAGATATTCTTATATATTTATTGTTAATTTTGTTTAATCGTTCAATTTATGTTTGTTGGTGAGGGTACCAAACAAATTAATATAATATAAAGAGTGCCCCCATAATAGTATAGCACATTCCTGGGAGTCCTAAAGTCAAATACAAACTCACCCTCTACCTTCCTCCCCAAAAAAACCCTAGAATAATATATAAAATCAAATCTGTTTTCAAAAATCAAATCCATCGAGCTTCCATACGGTGGTGGTCGTTTGGATGAGTAAAATTATTTTCACCAACGTGAGATAAAAAACTTATAGTGGCTATCGTGGGCGATATCATTTTTATATTAATTAAATTAACCAAAAATTAACGTGGACACTGCCCATTTTGTCATATACATGTATATAAAATAATACTCAGAGTTTCCTCCCTCATTTGTGGGCATCAGCGTCAATAATTGACCATCCCAAAACCACAAATGGACCAGAGTCCATTCTCACTTTAATATTAATTGGTTTTACTTAATACAATTTCAATTTTATGTTCATCAAGTTACCGTAGTATTATTAAAAATCTAAACACATAATATATAATTAAAATCAATTTCATTTCTTAAAATATCCTTAACGTTCTTCAAAAAGAAATTACAGTAAAAAGAGAGTTTGTGCAAGAAACTTCAAATAAAATACAAAAGAA